CACTAACAAAAGATAACAATTATTCTTCTGATTTTTGTCCCAGTAGGAGAGAAATGGAACCACAGGGCATGTTTATTTATACAACAGACCACATATTTCCTTCTTTAGGAACTTTAATGAAATCATAATCTGACACTAAGACGTTGTTAAAGATCTGTTTCAGTTTAGAATGATAAACAAGTTGGTTATAATTCTCAAAATATTGTTTAAGAAGAGTTAGTACGTCTGATGGCAGTGAGTATTCATACTGCGTAACTGCATAATAAAGTAAGAGAAGTGGAGAAAAAGCTTTTTTCCCCGCCAAGGAGATGGAGTCAATCAGCTTGTGGCTGTGTATTGCTGCACTGTTTTTTCCTTTGCTCGGACTGCTGAATGAGCTACACTGGCAAGTCAGACTTTGCAAGGATCTATTCACTTTACCACTGCTTTTATGAGCAAATTATTAGCTTTCTGATCACCATCCTCAGAAGATAAATACCAATGGGCTCCGAGTATCTGCAAACTGAAGTTTTCATCATAGTGTAACCCAAAGAAATCAAAATACTTTGGGTGTTGGTCTGTTGAGGGCATCTCTTGATCACTCTGATGCATCCATTAACCTTCTATCGATAACATAAACCGTCTGACATATTTAAGGTACTTTAGGGTTTTGATCTTAGTATTCTCATCTAGAGAAAAGGAGGGTGTCCTCCCTTCCAGATGCTTTCTTTTATGCTTATTGCCATACTGGTTTATCCACAAGCCTTTTGGCAGCAACAATAAGAGCCAGACTGGTATTACTAGAATACCTGGAACCCTGTGAATTTACTGCATCTCTAAAAAGCAAGTTTGAAATCCTGTTTCACCTTCCAGTAACAGGGGTGTTCAATTTTGGAGATGTTACCAGAAATACAGTGTCAGTGGTTGAAACTAAATGTAGAGCCTTGACTATGTCTAATTAGAAGCAATGTACCTCTACAGAAATTAAACACTTATTTGTAGGTCCTTGCAAGTTATTGGTTTTTACCATAAATGGAAGCATAGTTTTGATTCTTTGTTGACTCATATTGGTGGATTTATATTAATTTACAAAATTAATTGGAACTGACGTGGTTTACCAGAAAAATCTGGTTGAGGAAATATTTTCAGATGTGCATTTACATTCAACTACTAAGCGCAACCAAAAAGTGTGTGTCGGTCGTGCATAATTGGAGTAAATATTTTTTCAGGTTTCATTCATTTGGAATCTAGGTTACAATTTGGATAAAATAATTTAAGAGCTGTTTGAGTATTTTGGACTGGAAAATCTTCTTTTTATTTGTACAGGAAGTATTTCTCAGTCATATGCAATGACTGGACAAAAGTAACAAAGCTACAACACTGAGTTGAATTAAAGCGACCGGGTCATTCAGGTCTTGTTGGAGGGGGGTTTATGAGATTTTTTTTAAATGTGGTTGATAAAAGAGTTTTAATTTCCATTTACAGTGAGCTTCTAAAATGATGCCAATTATTCACAATTAAAATAAATATTTTTTCAGGTTTCATTCTTTTGGAACTGAGGTTAGAACATTCAGTGAAAATATTCGATGGCACTTCTTACTAAACCGGGTACATGTGTGTGGGAGGTGGTAAGAAACACACTAGAAACATCTGTTTGGTGTTCCAGGCAATTTTT